TTCTGGACATTTATGGTTTGATTTCTTTGTATGTATGGATCACTTGGGTTGTTACCGACATCTGATGAAAATTTCATGTCATTAGCACCTCTAGTAATATATTTACTGAGAAAAATGTTGACATGTTCAATACTTATTTTACCCGCCGTATTTGCAATATTACCTATATTATGACATAACAAATTAGCTGAAATTCTGTTATGGCTTTTGGTTTTTATGCCACCCCACTTTTAGGGGCCCCCACCCACATGGCCTGTCATTAAAAAAACTCTAGACGTGCCAGCACCACTGCTGTAAAAGCTGGACATAATGTATTGTTATAACCATAGATAAATACGTTTTATCAGCCAAATTAATTTGTTTAAATTCAACATTATTCACTTAGATTAAATTGTTGTCTGTAGATTACATGGACTTCCTCCCGTTGTTTTTACGTATACAGTTGTATAGGGAAGGTTTCACAGATTTTCTGAAAACTCAACTTCAGATTTCTAGGCCAGAGTCGTGCGTCCTTCCTAATATAATAGTTATAATAAAATAGTGGTCATTTGCGTCATTTTCCTGCATTCAGAGCCTCCTACAATCCACCAGGGGCCCAATGATCTTGTAGGCCMTCCTCTTTAGATCTGACACCTGTTTTGGCAAATCGGGTCAATCTATGGTGTTATTTTCAACTAGAACAAAGATGGCGAATGTACTCAAATTTGAAATAAAGCTATTATAGGTGGTTCAGGTGAAATAAAATTGATATTCTTGATGGGGAAAATGTTTTAAAAATGTTAGTGAAATGTCTGTGAAGTGGTTTGGACTCTGTTAGTAATATCTGAGGCAAAAAGTTGACCATATCATTAAAAAACTATAATAAAAATAACATAATATAATAAATAAGCTTAAGAGATGAATGAACCAATTGGCGGGCCAAACTTTGGTCACTCACGGGCCACATTTGGCCCACGGGCAGTCAGTTGGAATAGCTCTGGCATAGGGAGACAAAAAGATCATCATCTGAATACATTATATGAGATTTACAAGATGCTTACCCACTATACACCCAGTCTTAGCTACAATAGTTCAATAGACAAAACAAGGAACAAGTTAAAGAGGACAAGAGACAAAATCCCCCCCGTCATGAGGGACATAAGCTTGTAATAGTGTAGTGTGAGAGTTATAATAATGATTTTATTTCTTTTAATGAATTTCTGGAGGTCAGTATGCAGTTGCTTTATTTAAGACTATGACTTTAACAGTATGGCGGCCCTACAGGTGTCAGGGGCAGCCAGCAAGCGGCGCCTTTCAGCCCACTGCCCGCCCCGAACCCAGCCGCGGCTCTCCCCCGCCTGGAAGCGTCCACAGGGCGGATCGAGTTACTGAACGCCCCATCTTTAAGCTCCAGTCGCTGCTCCGTTAGCCGCAGGACAACAAGAGAGGAAAGGACGGGACACTGGCCGTCGGGGACAGAAACAGCTCCACACTCATGTAAGCCACGATTTCAGAACTAATTATCGCCTCAACGAAGCGTTATGTATCATTTAGTGTAAATTCGTAAAAAAAAAAAAAAAAAAAAAA